TTTTGGCTTTCCGAGACAGGGTTTCTCTGCGTAGTTTTGCGCCTTTCCTGGAGCTCACTTGGTAGCCCAGGCTGGCCTCGAACTCACAGCGATCCGCCTGGCTCTGCCTCCCGAGTGCTGGGATTAAAGGCGTGCGCCACCACCGCCCGGCTAACCTGAAATTCTTTAGACAGTGGAAATCTAAGGTTTTTAAGCAATAGGAACATGATCAGTGGGATGCGTCAGGACATGTAAACTACAGCAAGGGATACATGAGACAACCACACACATACAAAGACTTGCCTTTAAGAGCTTTGTCTTGCCTTCTTAAAGTATATTCTCCCTCAAGTGAAGTACTTACTGTGCAAGCATGAGAACCTGACTTTGGATTCCCAACACCCATGTAAAAATGGGGTGCAGTGGCTTGTGCTTATAAATGTAAAGCTGAAGGGATGGAGACAGGAGGATCTCTGAGACTTGCTGGGCAGCCAGTCTAGCTGAACTGGATTGATGAACTCCAGGTTCAGTGAAAAACCTTATCAGGGACAGGTGAGGTGACTCATCAGGTGAGGGCACATGCAGTCAAGCCTGACAAGTGGAGTTCAGTCCTTAGTACCTGCATGAAGGAAGAAAACAACTGACACCTGCAAGTTGTCCTTTGACATCCACACTTATGCTGTGGCATTCATGCAAACCTCCCCACAGACAAACACACAAAATAAACAAGTAAAATATTGAAGAATTTTTTAAATAGCAAGAAAAGAGATGCGAGAGAGAGAGAGAGAGAGAGAGAGAGAGAGAGAGAGAGAGGAAGACACCCAATATTGACCTCTGACCTACACACATACACATCCAAACAAATAAAATAAATACTTAGGAGAGTATTTTTCAGTATTGTAACAGAATTGAGAGGAGATATTGAGGCTATAGGAAAAGATAGTATGACTTCAATTGTAGAATTTTTTTAAGTGCCCCCTTAGTGCCATATACAGGTTTAGGAACTGTACCTGTGAAGCCAAACCAGGCACTTGCCTTGAATAGCACATATACCTTTTAGGAAAACAAGAATGTGGTCTTTTATAATGGACATAGGAATAGTGTATCTGTGTGGCACAGGAATTAAAAAATTTCCTCCAACCTCTGTCATTTCTCCTTTGTGTCCCTAGAATACGATATTTTTTTCCCTCAAAGTTTAGTGCATAAAAGAATCATCTTGTTTTCCCTTAACAATTAAGTATAGAGTTATCAATTAAAAATTTGCTTAATCTAATCTTGACCCTCTTTGTTATATCCTTTAATATAACACTTAATTTCAGTGTGTTTACAATTCACT